CGTCGCCCCAGTTACCCCGTGTCCCCGTGTCCCCGTGTCGCCGTGTCGCCTGTTCACGGTCCCCGGTCCACGGTCCACGGTCCACGGTCCCCGCTCCCCGCCCTTCGCCCATCCCTTCGACGCAACGTCCTCACCACCCCGCGCCTGAGCTCCGGCTTCCGGCGCCCGACCGTTTTCGCATACTCAATGATGCAATTGCAAGTGAGCGCGAGGAAAATGATTTTTCTATATTTACACTGGTCTTTCGCCGCGCGTCTAAACGAGTCGATCGTCGCACGGCCACTTGATGCTTGCGTCACGAGGCGCACGCCCGCGTATTTTCCTATAGCGCCGGCTATACATTCCCTTCATCTTATTTTTTCTTCTTTTTTCTCCCCCCTCCCCCCAATCCCCCACCTCATTAATCCGCTAAAGCAGCGATGACTCTATCGCCGTGTATCGATGATCTCCGTGCTTTTATGGAATTCCGGTAAATGGAAATTTTTTTGTACGCTCTTAACCTTCAATATCGTTTCCATTTGGCTTCGATCCGCTGCAACGTTGCATTAGCATTGACGATTTCGAAATATCGAATTGTTCCGAAGCGATGATTTAGACGCTCAATGATGGAATAACACGATTAGGATATCTCCAACGAAGCCATCACAATGAAAGCTAGGTCAGATGCGATAATTCGGCACTCCTTATCCGGCAACGCACACGCGGTAGGACAAGGAGAAGCATAAGAAAAAGTTAAGAGAAGAAGAAGAAGGAGTAGTAGAAGACGAAGAAGTAGATGTAGAAGCAGACTCACCAATTGTGAAAGGTTCCCTCGTATAGGAAGTCGGGGCAGCTTTGCGATCCACTTTTGCCGCTCTCGCACTTGGTTTAACCCGCGATCTTAGAGTGCCGAGAAACCGTCTTGCGATGGAAAGAGTCCGGTCGATTAAAGGTGCCTCGCCAACGCTTGCACCAGCACAACCAATCAAAACAAGAACAATGAAGAGGGACGAGAAGAAAAATTGTATAAACAAATAAATAGAACGTCGATCGCGCTGTCGTACACAGTTCGCAGAGTAGTCCCGCGAATAATCGTAATTGCACTGACGTAAAAGAGCACTCGGATAGGCGAAGAGGATGAGCGTTCAATCGCCGAGCGCAGAATCGCTCGCAGAAGTCACAACACTTAAATATATATTCCCGTCTTTCTCTCTCTCTCTCTCTCTCTCTCTCTCTCTCGTTCTCTTCGAGTTTATTAGCGAAGTGAAGTACGTTGGCAGTGGAGTGCCAGTGTATACGTGCACCCGGTAGAGCGTCGCGCTGCCAACTGATTTGACGTCGCACAGGCGATCGCACGACTCTCTCTCCGTGACTGTTACTACTACTACGTGCGTGCCGGCGGCGGCGGCGGCGACGGCGGCGGCGGCAGCGGTGGCGGTGGTGGCGGTGGCGGTGGCGTAGACGGCGGCCTCTCCTCCCCCTCCTCTCGAAAATGCGTCCCGACGCGCGCCTGTACACCTCCTCTCTCGGCCGTTAGACCGAAGGTGGGGGACGCGGTGGATCATTTCGGGGGAAGTTTGCAAGAGCTTTGCGACTCTCTTCTCCGCTCGTTCCCTCACTTCCCTCACTGTGCGTCTCTCCTCATCTCTCCTCACTGCTTCGCGCCTCGCCTCGTCTCGCCGCACCTCACCGCACCGCACCTCGCCGCACCACCCCGCACCTCACCTCACCTCACCTCACCTCATCTCACCTCACCTCACCTCATCTCACCTCACCTCACCTCACCGCACCGCACCTCACCTCACCTCACCTCACCTCACCTCACCTCACCTCACGTCACCTCACCACACCACACCACACCTCACCACACCACACCTCACCTTACACCGCCTCGCCTCACCTCGCTACGCTACTCCTCATCTCCTCGATTCTTCCCCTACCGCGGTTCTTCTGCTCGGTTTTTTTCTACCTTTTACCTGTTATTTTTTGTTTTTGTTTAAACGCGAGGAAGAAGGGCCGCCGCCGTCGTCGTTCATTCCCTTTTCGCCTTCTTTGTCCAGAGACTGAATTAACAGATAATCGATTTGGGCTGCGGCTAAAAAACCCGACGCCTCCGTTGTGTTTACATCCTGCGTAATTATTTTGTTCAAGCGGTACTTGGCTTTTTTCATACTCCAACTTTTTCGTCTGAGACTAGTAAAAGGGGTTACTGCCGAGTAAAAAAACTCCCAACAAAGTTTGCGCGCTTCTTCAATAATTCGGCAAAACTTGGTCATTTCCTTCTCTCTCCCTCTCCCCCCGGATTATGGTATCGTCAAATGCAGTTCAATCGTAATACGAGGTCGCTCGTTCGAGTGCATAATGCTGAGGTGAGGCGTTGATCTTTTATCGATAAATCCAGCCTACGAGCCACGGGCAGATTATGTGCCCCTTCTCTCCGGAAGTCTGCAATTATTAATAAACATACTATGATAAACGCGAACGTCAGGACAATAGTAGCGGCTCCTGACGGCGAGGATTGCCCAGTCGATTGAGAGTCTGGAGTTACCGAAAAGGAAGCAAGGAGCGCTCGCGGCGAGTTCAGCCGAACTTGCAAGTTCAAGTGCAAACGACCTCGGTGAGAGGGCAAAAAAGGCCCGTCCACCTGCGCTCGCAGATATCGCGTAATAAAATTAAGCGGAGGGAGTTTCTTTGTCTCTCCCCCCTCCTACGGTAAGCGCACCGGATCGTCGCAGGCCCCACTCCCCGTTATCGCGCGTCTCCCTCCCCCATACACACGCGCGCGCGCGCACACACACGCAAACCCACACCCACATCGACCACCCCCACCCCAGGGAGAGGAGCGGCAAGAGCCGCAGCACCGGCAACGCGTAATTAGACTGCGTCGTGCAGCGATCGTGCACGCATCGCCGTCATCGCCATCACCGCCGCTCATTCGCCGCTCTTTTTTTTTTTAAGAGAAAAAGATAGATGAAGTTGGGGGAGTAGGAAGATCCGTTGAATTGCAATTAAACGTGGATTTAGAGCTGAATACGCCATTGATCAAATCTATGCAACCATATCGTCTTACATAATTTGCTCATTAATTGATAATAATAGATGGCATGGCTCGTTATTGCCATCGTTGATAATATTTAATAAAAAGTGCGTACATAATAATATAATTCCCCTTATTCTGTTTTCTGAATTTTGTTACGCTGTTGTTTATTATAAACAACGAGCTAAATCGAGGCCATAAATTTCTTCATTTAATGGGTAAATACTTAAATGCAACGAGTCTCGTGTACGCCAAGAACGTAAAAGGTAATTCTAATAGATCTTTCCAAGAAGGTTACGTGATATGTTTGAGAGAAGATATTTTTGAAATAAGTTGAACATGCGTTTTCATGACTAAAGAAAGACCATACACATCGAAAATAAATTGTCAATTATGCCCGATTGCGTGAAAATTAAATAATATAATAAATAAAGTCATATAGTCAAAAATAAAAATAAAATTAAAAACTGCATTTAAAGTGTGTAAAACTATAGTCAAAATAAACGATAATGAACTATTTTCTTCTCTTTATACAGACTTTTGTATTAAATTTAATTTTCCTCCTTGCAAACGTATTGAGCAAGTACTTAAATATATATATATATATACATACCAAATATAACAAATTTTCTTGGCATACAATAGAATTATAAAATTTTTACAGATTTTTCACTTAATGTTTTTTAAAAAGTGAAAAAAAAGAAGAATAGAAAAAAATACCAAAATATCGTATGAAAAATGTACGTTAATTTAGTATTTTAAAAAACTTGTGAAATCTGTGTCGCAATCATAATAAAAAGACATTACAAGAGTTCCAAAATATTTCTATAACTAGAATGTACTGCATGGTTAATTCAAATAAAACTGAATTTGCTTTTTATAGGTAATTGTTCATAGGAGTGCATTTCCAGAAACTAATAATTATAAATTTTGCTTAAGTTTTTAAATTGTAAGGATTTTTTAAAAAATATCATGCTTTTTCATCTTGTATTTAATGACAATGTTATCAAAGTTACTAGAATGTGTTAGCACTTGTTCGGTTATATTTATTTTAATTATAAATATAATATTTATTGAATGTGATAATTGGAGCTCTGTAAGGTTAGACAATAAGTATTCTTGTTCTTAGCATTCAATTTTAACAATTTGTGATGGGAAATTGCCTTGATCAAAGTATGTGGCAAACTATCGCACCAATCACACGACTCGTACACATTATTATTATTATTAAGTAGTAAAAATGTTATCACAATAGGCTTAGTGATATACTTTTGCTAATTAAAATCATAAAGTACAGCTAGATATTGAAAAAGATTTTTCACTAGTAGAACTCGTGCTCACGGAAATTGTCCTCAAAGAAACTTTAAAAAACATACATACGTACACACACGCACACACACACACACACACACACACACACACACACACACACACACACATATATATATATATAAAGTAAAAGAAATTACTTCACCGAAAAAATAAAACATTTGAAAATGCCTTCGATTTTCGCGACGAAAACGAAATTCTTATGGTTTTGGCATTCAATTTATCAGGTAAAACTTGTTCAAAAGAAAAATCCTTCTATGGCATAATCATTTTTCAAAGAACAGTAGTCCCTATTCAGCCCTCTCCTCTACCACCATCACCACCATCATAACTATTTTCTCACATGTAAGGAGGACGGTTTTGACTTTTGTCTTTCCATATGATTTTCTTGTGATTGTGCCACACTGTACTTATTATGTCGACGCATCTAACTATATAAATTATCTCGAATCAGTAGATATACGATACTATTTGTCCCTTGAAATTGTAATCCCTTAATCCACAGAAACATTATTATATATTTTTCATTAGTGCTTAAAATGAAAATAAAAAGACGTGATATAAGGACTAATTTCTTAAAAATCGAAGTTTATGTGTTGCTATTATCGAGTCTATGCATTACACGAATAATCACTGACGATAATCAATCATTCGTTTATAATATTAAATAAAGCCGAACTGTCAACGACTTCGGCATGCAAACTTTTTAATCGCGGACGATTGTAATACCTCCAGATTATAACGAAATACTTAGATAATCATTAATATATTGTTGTTTTTATAATTTTTTTTTTTTATACTCGTTTATTTCAATTGACATTTCAAAAAAAAGCTTGAAAATATTGAGCGACTGGAAGTCTATAATTATTATAAAATAAAGTAAAATTTTACTCTGTAGTATCGAGGCAAACATTCAGATCGATGATTAAATATAAATAAATTATGATTAGCTGTAATACGGAATGTCTTAGTAATAAAATTGATAACATTATTTATTCGTGCATAAATTCATAATTCTAGACCTTCGTAAATGAAGATGACGAAGCGATTGGACGAGGCGGTAAACGTATTGTAAAGTATGGCGCCCAAGTTCCATAAGAAACTGCACAGTAAGGGAGATTTTCGAGCGTAACATTGTGCCCCGAAACCTTATTTCGAAATTCAAGGATCTCATTTCGCACCTGCATCACGTTTGCGTCGTTAAATATCGGCTTCCTCCGGGGCTGCGCGCGACTGTTGCCGCTTTGTGGCGCTCGCCGAGAGCATCGCTGACCTTGACATTCGCTTGCTGCTCTATTTTTATCGGCCACGGTTCAACGTCTCGCGCGAATTCTCCTTCTCTCTCTCTCTCTCTCTCTCCCCGTGTGCCCGTGTTTTTGCCTTTACCCGTGCGCTCCGTCTACGTCGCTGATTGGCTCGATTCGCCGAAATTCTCGTTTCTCATCTCTCCTCCTCCTCC